ATGTGAGATTCAGCAATCAATTTTCAAATAAATGCCATCAGTTAATAGTTATCAGCTATAAGTTGGGCTCTTTCTCTGTCAAGTACCAGTGAATTTTGTGTCATTTTTGATTTGTGGTTCTATCTTACTGAGGAAATATATCCAGAACTTATTAGGGGGAGATATGGTATATTTTCAATGTCATTGCTCACACAATCAGCATCCCAGTGTCCCTACTGCAGCACGGGCCACTATGATTTTGTTTCCTCTTTCCAGTTATCTAGATTCCCATAAGAATTATGACATGATGCTTGTATGGTGGGGATTGACTTATGACTGGGGGTGTGTGTGTCAGGGAACGGGATGGAATGGGAGACAACAAGGACAGTGGTGGGAATGGAGGAAGACAAGAGCTTGCGAATCACAAACTAAGAATATGCCCCTGGATATCAGCACGTTGTGTGCATTTGTAGTTTCAACACCTACTGATTGACAGGAGAGCGCCCAAGTCAGTTTTGTGAGTATTTCAGTTGTCAGAAACCTCCTAAGCCTGTCCCAGTCTCACCCTTTATTCTTCGAACTTCTTTGTACCTGGGCTGGTGCTCTAAGCTCCTAACAGTGGGATTACGAGGCATGTGGGTATTACAGGGAGATAAATCAGGAGGCATAGATCCTTTATTCATCTGCTTTGAAGAGGGCAACTGGGCGGTTTATGGGAGCAACATTCAACTCTGTGAGTATTTCTCAACTTCTGGTGTTTAAGTAGGTTTTAATTGAAAGGCTTTGTGGGTGGTGGAGGGTTGATCTGGCTCTAAAATAAAGAAATGGAAGAAAACACACTGAACCAGCGGGCCTGGGCTGGGGCTGGGAATGAAACTGGGAGAAAACATGAAGGAAATACATCCAAATTGCCTTATAATGTCATGCAGCCAGCTAATAAGTGAAACTTGATTATTGAGAGGTTGCTGCAAAACTTGATTACTCAACTCATTTTGAAAGAACCCCGAACTGACTCCTTCTTTTTTGTGGCTCCCAGTTTTCTGGGAAAGGAGGGATCTGGGGCACTAAGTGACCACAGAGCAAACAGTTCTTTACTCCCAGGGTGTCCTTGAAAGAGACCAAAATACAAGAGGGGGGACATGAGAGTGTGAGGATAAGGAGAAAGAGAGTCAAGAGGCAGCCAGAATGACCCCAGTGCTCTGTGGGTGGCTTAGCCTTCTCCCTCTGAGGCCAAAGTGTTTGTTTGTTCTGATCCGAATGAAGGTACTTGTGGACTTTTTTTTTTTTTTTTCCCTTTTCATGGCTTTGGTTAGGGTCTTCCTTGGATCTCCAGATTATTTGATTCTCTCTGCCTCAGCAGGACCCTGGTGATATTTATTGGCCCAACCCCATCAGTGGAGGGAGACCACTCCTGCACCTATTCCTTACCCCTTCTCTTAGCCCCCCAACAATAGAATTGTCTATTTGCCTATATCTTTGCCGAGAAGGGGAGACTGGGGGTGATGACAGCAGCATTAGAGATCCTGACTCCAGACCTTCTGATACTGCTCTTCCTTAGCTGGGGTTTATGGGTGATCATCCTCCATAGCTTCTTACTCTGAACTCTGCTGTCTTGCATCCAAGTTGACACTAATCCTGATTCCCTACAAAACTGTGCTTTGACGTACTGTTCTGCTGAATCCACTTCCTTCTGCAGAACAACAGTTTTTACTCTTCAAAAAGGGAAGGGCTGACACTGCTTTAAAAATAGAAAGCCATTCCATCTCACAAAGGAGTGAATGAATTTCTTGACACTTTTGGAAGACAAAAATGTGAAACATCTTCTTCCTAAAGCTGAAAGCAAGTCTGACACTGGACGGAGGATTATTTAGCCAGGGGATGCTCTTTTAATTCCTAGGAAAGCATGGCCAGCATAAGTTTAGCCTCTGGTGATATGCGGCATGGACAAGATTAACTTCCAAGGCAGGGAAGGGTCATATTTGCTCTCTTCCTCCCAAATGGTTTTACAGGGAGAACTGGAGGGCACATCCATGACAGAAACACTGTACGAGTTAGATTGTCCTATCTACTAAAAAATGAAATATTATACATGAAATGCATAATAAATACAAAGTTTTTACCCATGGTGCAAACCCTGAGGATCAGGAGGATCCAGGGATGAACGAGGCAACTGTTCTATAACGCTTTCGGAAGAGAATGCCTTTGTATAATGCATCCTACCTAGAGAGGAATGGGAACACCATCTGAGCCTGCGACTTCAAAATTACATATATAAATATGCAAAAGAAATTTGCAAGAGAAAAGGGGAAGTATAATCAAGGAAAGATGGAAGTCAAGTGTGATTTTTAAGTTCTTTGGGGCTGCTTTTGGGGATGTCAAGGGAATCCAAGCTTACGGCAGAATTTCAAGACCAGTCATAAATTAATAGGGTGTTGGAGGGATACAGAAGATGACCCAACAAGTGCTGATGACAGTTATTTCTCTGGTATGTGACAAGGGCTCTTCAACCGTTCACCCAGGAGAAAGTGTATAGGGAGGGCAGGTGAACCTGTGTCCCAATCACAGATTTGTTTGCTGGCTTCCTAGAAGGTCTATTACATAGTTATTATTTTTTTGAGCACTTTGCACCAAACACTTATTTACATTATGCCTTTTACTTTTCTCCATAGCTCTAAGAAGAAGGTATATTTGATTAATTTTATAGATGGAATGAGGTCCAGACAAGTTATGCAATTTATCCAAGGTCACATAGACAGTTTTTATGGAGCAGGGAATTGAAACTATGTCTGTTTGAATCTAAAACACATAGTCTTTCCATTGCATTGCCCCCAAAGGGTAATATGACTGATTAGTTTACCTTAAACCCTCATATTATAGACTCTGAATCTGACACAGTGGAATCCTAGATAGAACTGCTAGATCAAAGTAGAAGACACCCAGTAAAATTAGAATTTCAGATAAATAACAAGTAATTTTTCTTGTATAAGTATGTACCATGAACTATTTAGAATATACTTATAATAAAAACCCCAATTTTTATTTATCTGAAATTCTAATTTAACTGGGTGTCCTGCATTCTTATTTGTTAAATACGGTAATCCTAATCCTAGTAAACTCCCCAGATGAGAGAAGGAAAATTTGGGCTTTCTTACTATTTTGAAAGAATTGAGAAGTCCAAAAATCTTGATTGGAGAGAAATTCTCTAGTTTTCCTCTGTGGCTTTGTCAGAGCTGGGATGTGTCAGCTACTGGTATAAACTCAGAGACCAATGCTACTCTTGGTTGCCTAGTAGTAGTTTCCATGGTCCCAACCACACTTGGAAGAGACACAAACTTTGCCTGTTTACCAGGGCGAGAGAGGGTCCACAGCACAAAACTGGATTCAGTGAACAGGCGAACAGGCAGCCCATTTCCTAAAGCCACTGAGAGCTTTGTGAAGTGAAGACCAACTGATGCCTTCTTTATGGTTTGGTGGAGAAATCACAGGCTCTGGTTCTCATCACCCAAAGTTTAAAGTAGTAGTTCAATGTTTCCATTTATTTATTCAACGATTAGACAAATATATACAGCACACCTGCTATGTGCCAGGCACTGTTCTAGGTTTTGACAGAAATGAACAAAAATGGAAAAAGAAGCTCACTGGAGCACCTTCCAGTGGGGAGATAAGACAAGATCCGTTTCATAAGCAAGTAAACCTGGCCAGGTTCGGCATCCGTGGTACCCACTCACAGATTAGTTAATGCGTTTCTATGGAAAAAGTTGAGAACTAGCAGGAGAAAATGAAAATAGTAATTGTGGAAAAGAAGATGAGGAAAAAAATGTCTCTTAGGCCAGGATAATAATTTAAACTGATTTTCAAAGTAATAAGAAAAAGTTGATGAACTTGAAGTCATACAATATAAAATTTGAGGAATGTTCAGTGTGGTGGAGAAAGAGGAAGATGATTAGCATGGGCCAAAGATGGTCAGGGAGAGTTGAAGCTAAGAATATTAGCATAAAGTCTATAATTTATAGATTATATAAATAAATAAATCTTCCAGGTAGCAGAGCATGTAAGTGTTTGGCTCAGGGTAAGAGATTAGGGGTACTTAGAAGTTCTTTGGAGTTTTTTAGACTCTTCCTTCCTAGGAGAAGTATGATCAACTTTTGTGATAGAAAAGAGAAAGAAGAAAAGTCATCCTTTAGCTTAGCATATTTACTTTTAAAATTTATCTTGTTAATACATCCCTATTTGTACTTGAAGAATGACAATGTACGTTTCTATGGCTAAAATCAAAGTCTGTGAAAATTATATTGGATAAGTCCATGATTTGGATAGGAGAAAATGTTGAATATTTCAGAGAAATGGGTGATTAAAGAACCTCATGTCTGAATATGGAGTTAAAGCATAAACCTACTACTGAATCATCCTCCATTGATTTTCTCGTGTGTGTGTGTGTACTGGGATGTATCTCATACTACATGGGTGTTAGTGTCCCTGGTTCAGAGCTCTCCCTGTTATCTCCCAGAACTAGGAGAGGAGCATCTTGATTACACAAGGCTTAAACAGTGTAAGGTACTGTAAAATAAAAAGCCCATAAAATATGAGGCAATAAACATTAAGAGTCAGGTTATTGTGTAGTAGGGTGGAAAAATATATAAAACTTAAAGAACATATCAGTGCTGTAAAGACTATAGATAGCATTCAGTCCATTTTCCTGTCTTCACAGATGATGATCACAGAATGGGAAGTACTTATCATAATAGATTCACATGGAAAGCTTGTGATAATTTATTGAAACAACACATCTATCTAGATTTTTCGTTTGTAATCTATCTGTTGTCAGTCTGCATTCCACTACATTGAGTGATTGATTTATACCATATTTTCTTGAAAATCTCTTTAAAAGATGATTGATTCTTCCCTTTTGTGTCAAGACAAAGTCCTGAGCTTTTCTGACTTTTCCAGTGAGGGTCTAAGAAGCAATGGTCCCTGTACCCTGAAGAATCTTTTTTTTTTTTTTTCCCCTTTCACCATCTAAGGAACCTGAAAGAGAACCATCAGACACCCAACGACATCAGAATGAGCGACAACACTACTTTGGCTCCTCCAGCTTCAAACCAGGGTCCCACTACCCCACGCAAGGGGCCCCCCAAGTTTAAGCAGAGACAGACTCGCCAATTCAAGAGCAAGCCTCCTAAGAAAGGTGTTAAAGGGTAAGAACAAAATGAAAAAGAAGACTTTCTATTATTTTCCCCCACAAGCCTGCTTTGGTTTTGAGAAACTAATGCTCCCAATATTAAATAGACTTAGAAAGATTTCTACCCCATCCTGTATTTTCCTCTCTACCAGAGTTTTTACGGAATCATTTAGTTTTTAGCCCTGGAATGCTTTCTCTCTCACCCACCAGGTCTGTGGTGACATTTAAAACGACAAATGGAGACGGTCATAGCAACCTTTGACTTGACCTTCCAGACTTTTCTTGACCACTCCTCTTCACCAGTACACCCTATGGTTTAATTTGGAATACTAAAACACTGGCCATTTCCAGAACGCAGAGTTTATTTTTATGGCTTCAGATGTTAAATCTTCAATTCTTTATTTTTCTCTTTCTCTTCTTGGCAAAATCCAATTTATTCTTTAACATATATTCATATGTTAATTTCTCTTTTGAAGCCATTACTGACTCTCTTAGACAAATGTGATCATGACTTCCATGTTTGCATTTCATACATTCAGCTGTGATAACCTGTATTGTCTTACATTACATTTATTTATTTACATCTGTTCTCTGAGATTGAAGTTCCTCAGAGAAAATTCATTTTTTTCTTAATTCTCTATGTTTAATACAATGCCTGGCACATAGTAAATGCTTGATAAATGCTTTTGTATAGCTAACCAAATAGATGAATTAATCATTTTAATGTCTTTCATACTGTGTTTTCATTCCAATTTCTTCCTTCCTTCCTTCCTTCCTTCCTTCCTTCCTTCCTTCCTTCCTTCCTAAGATTTTATTTATTTATTTATTTGACAGAGAGCTCAAGAGAGCACAAGCAGGGAAAGCGGCAGAAGGAGGAGAAGCAGGCTCCCCACTGAGCAGGCAGCCTGATGTGAGGCTCCGTCTCAGAACTTTGGATCATGACCTGAGCTGAAGGCAGAAACCCAACCTACTGAGTCACCCAGGAGCCTCCATTCTATTTTCTATTTTTAAAAGTGGAGCTTGACTAAATTTCCCCAAGGATAGTTCTAGTTAGCTCTCAGTTGTCTTAAGCTAAATTTTTATGAGGGGCAAATGTCACCACAGAGACACACTGAAACCAGCCTGAGTCACTTTGTCTTTTCCTCAGGTCAATGCAAATAAAATATTTCTCAAAGACTAAAACTTAAACCTCTTCCTGCCCCCTTAGTCAGGAAGCTGTCAGTAGGAGACATTTCAGGATCCTTTCACTCTGATGTCAGCTAATTTTTCTTTTTTTCTCTATAGATTTGGAGATGACATTCCAGGCATGGAGGGGCTAGGAACAGGTGAGCCTCCCAAGACTGTGGACTTTCACTTGGAATTTCACCACTATCCATTCTTTAGGCCTCAAAGGGCAGTGAAAAATTACAAGAAATAGCTAAGGCAGCAAGCAGATCCTTGAAGACATAGAAGTGTGGGGTTTAGTTTAATCTCCTCAGTAAATACACATGTACCCTGAGGCAAAAACTCTAATAGAAATTAAGCTAAGGTCCAAAGATACTAAATCCTCTTGTTCTTTACATGCTTCCTCAATGCTTGAGGACATCAAGTTGTAGACTTTAATGGTAGAAAGATTCTCAGGGTTTGTCTATCCCAACTTCATCATTTCTTCAAAAGAGAAATCTGAGACAAAGAGGAATGAAGTGACAGTAGGAGGCCACAGAGTGAGGTATTGGAAGCAAGGGAGGAGACTGGAGAACTTTTTCACACTACCAGACAAAGCACTCCTTAACCACCTTCCTCTTTTTACATATGCTCTGGCACCCAGAACAGGGCCTACACACTGAATGTACCCAATCCAAGATTTTTCAGTTGGCTAGAATAATTGGACTTGTTGGATAATGAATGAAAATGACTGGATCTTCCCTTTAAAAATACTAAACTTTATTTTTTAGAGCCATTCTGAGTTTGCAGAGACCCTAAGCAGGAAGTGTAGAGCTCCTGCATACGCCTGTACGTAGCTTCCCCTATTATCAGCGTCTTGCATTGGTGTGGGACATTTGTTGTAAATGATGAGCCGGTGTTGGTAGCATTATTATTAGTGAGCATTCATAGCTTATATTAGGATTCATTCTTTGTGTTGTCCAGTTTTGACAAATGCACAGTGTTGTGCATCCATAACTACAGGTACATACAGAATAGAGGCCCTAAAAATCCCCCGTGTTCTACCTGCTCATCCCTTCTCCCACCCTCCACAAACTCTTGACAACCACAAATCATTTTACTCTCAAAAGTTTTGCCTTTTCCAGATTGTCATATGGTTAGAAGTATACAGTATATAGATTCTGTAGCCTGGCTTCTTTCACTTAGCAATATTTATTCATTTAAGGTTCCTCCATGTCCTATATGGCTGGATAGTTCTTTTTTTTTTTTAACCACAGAATAATATTTCCTTCTATGGCTGTATCATAATTTGCTTATCCTATTAAAAGACATATTTTTGGGGCACCTGGGTAGCTCAGTGGGTTAAAGCCTCTGCCTTCGGCTCAGGTCATGATCTTAGCGTCCTGGGATCGAGCCCCGCATCGGGCTCTCTGATCAGCAGGGAGCCTGCTTCTCTCTCTCTCTCTCTGCCTGCCTCTCTGCCTACTTTTGATCTCTGTCTGTCGAATAAATAAATAAAATCTTTTTAAAAAATAGACTTTTTGTTGCTTCCAAATTTTCACAATTATGAATAATTCTGCTATAAACACCACTGTGAGGGGTTTTTTTAAAAAAGATTTTTATTTATTTATTTATTTATTTTTTTGAGAGAGATAGCAAGTGAGAGAGCATAAGGGGGGGCGATGAGGAGAGGGAGAAGTAGACTTCTCAATGAACAGAGAGCCCGATGTGGGACTTGATCCCAAGACCTGGGCTGAAGGCAGATGCTTAACCGACAGAGCCACCCATGTGCCTCATTGTGCAGGTTTTTGAGTGAAGGTATTTTTAACTCATCCAATACACTTTTGATAAATGGTGTGATTAGTAATCAGTGTCCTTACCAGGCAATTCTCAGTGTATTTGCTTTTTACAGTCAAATGTCACTCCTGGGAGCTCAAATACATTTTCCAGCTATTTTCTAAATCTCATTTGCTATTCTCTTAAATCAACTGCTTCTGTATTTTGGCCAGACGTATTTAAGACCAGCAAATTTCCTTTGGGCTCTGGAGGATATGCTTAACTCTGCCAACGTATTTGGAACACTAGAAAGAGCTTTATACTGAGGGGAGATCTGAGATCTTCGGCTTGGTTTTAATCCCATCTCTATTACTCTGATTTTTTTTTTTTGTAGGTATTTAATCTCTTTGGGTTCCAGTCAGCTTCTCCATAATTCAGGGATAATAGCATTTTATTGCCTGAAGCAAAAAATTGGATTAGTAGATGCTTTGAGATTACTTCTCAGTATGCAACTGGATATATTAGGCATTTCAAAATCTAAAGGAACTAGAGTGAGTCAGAGAAGCCCAAGGAATGCATCTGAATGGGCAGGGAGTAAGAAGGCCCTGGATTTCCAGATCATGGGAATTTAAAATGCTTCTATTTCTCATTTTAACTCTTGGCCTGACTAGAATTCCACTTGTATTCTTTCCATAGTTGTTGTGCTTTGAGGAGACCCTGTTTGATCGGTGACCTGCACCCCCTCAGGCTAGCTCCAGTCAAAAGTCTTGGGTCACCTCTCCAAAGAGCTACAGAATGAAACCAATGGAGATACCTACCTGGGGTGGGGGGCATCAGAACCGTGCAAGGGATTAATTAGGCTGTCAGTCTAATCCTTTCTGGGCTAAGGGCCATTATAGGTAACTTTCTGGTTACTGAGACAACGAATGGGAGAGAGGATTGAGGTGTCTCCAGCCAAAGGATGTCTTCTGGAGCATGAGAAGGCTTCTTGAGGCTCTGGGGGGCGGGGGCAGTGAGGCTGGCTTACAAGCTCTTCTTCCCTCTCTTGCAGACATCACGGTGATTTGTCCCTGGGAGGCGTTCAGCCACTTGGAACTGCATGAGCTTGCTCAGTTTGGGATCATCTGAGGCACCAGAGGTTCTGCCATTCTCAACAGCAGCTGCTATAGTTTTGATTCCTTTTGCCCTATTGATCTGCCAGAGTCTTGAAATTCAGCTGTTAGGAAGTGGTTTCTTCCGCTGACACAGTCATTTCCCCTAAATTGCTGCGAAGAGCTCTCTTAGCGTCAGACCCTCTCCTGCCATATAGTTCAGCTCAGAATAGTGGATGCAGATTGACTTGCTCGGTCATTTCAAACTTGACCACCTTTTCTTATCAGCTGCTTAGAATTCATTGATAGTTCTCTAAATGTTGTTTATTTGTGAAGTCCTTCAAATCTATTTGAAGGCATTCCCTGTAGTTAGTAGCAGCTTTTAAAGATAACATTTATGTCACTCCCTTCCCCTTTTCATTTAATAAAGGACATACTGACCTTGAATCTGATGATGCGGTTGTAGTAAATGCTGTATGCAAATATCTGATACCCTGTTCTGAGAGTCAATTAAACAAAGAAGGGCGGTCCTCCAGGAAACAAGCACAGAGCCTATGAAAGAGTGTGGGAGAAGAGTCAAACCCTGATTCTGCTTTGTAACTTTGTAAATTGTGCACATTCTGGGTCTTAATTTTATGGAACTGGGTCATCCCCGAGGTCCTAAGCAGCTTGTACAAATTGGACAGCCTTATGTTTGATGGAAGACTGGAGATTCAAACTCAGGAATCTGATAATGTGAGCCTTCCTCTCCTTGCCATGGCTCAGCTGATTGAAAAGATTTAGAAGCTAGAAAGTTTAGACTTAGATGCAAAGGACAGGTGGTTGAATCCTCTAGAGAAAATGATGGGTTGCTTCACCATTGAGGTTGTGTCAAATGTAATGTGCACATAGCTATCTTTCCCCAATACTTTCAAGGCAATTGTGCAATTCAAAGCCTGCCTCTGTCTGACTTGGATGCTTTGGGTACCGGCTGTATTAATTTCTTCATTTCAGTTTTGTAATCTGTGGTGAAAGAATGGAGTAAATTAACTGAAAGGAGAGGCGGGATTATAGAGAGGAAAGAGATCTGGGTTCTAATCCTGACTTGACCAGTAAGTTACTCTGTAATTTGGGACAAAGTTTTCTCCCCTTGGATCCTCTAGGTTGCCTGAATCAGATAATATGAGGTTTGAGGTGGTGATAATTCCATGGTATTGAGGCCTGCAGAGTCTAAGTAAGAGAATTCAAGGAGCTCACACTCAAGAAAATGTCTTGTGCTACAGGCTCCACACCATTTTGCACAAATGACCTACTGACATCTAGCCAGAAGACTAGAAGCCCAAGGAAGGCATCTAGATTAGTGTGGGGAAAGGAGACTGTGGACTTCCAGACCATGGGAATTTAAAGCACTCCTATTTTTTTTTTTTTAATTCTTGGCCTGACTAGAGTTCCATTTCTGTCCCCTCATCCCCACCCCTTAGTAGAAAAGAAAAAGTACAGAAGAAAAAAATAAAGTATAAATTCAAGAGTGGAACCGTGACATGCAGGAAGTGTAGCCTGGATGTGTGCCTCCCTCTCCAGGAGGGACTCCAGCCTCTGCCCATGTCCCTGTTTTCTATCTGGCGACGGTTCCATTTGATAGCCAGGGCCCCGGGCTGCCCTCTTTCATTCCCATATGCCTCTTGGTGATGGAGGTCCTGGTTCTTGTCCAGCTAGGTGAGACTCTGGTCCACATTTGGCTTACTTTGCAAATGTTTCTCTAAACATTTTAAGATGCACCCAGAGAAACATACTCAATGGCTAGGCTGGAGAAAGATCTAGAAACCCTGCTACATGAAGAAGTGTTGAAGGAATGGATAATATTTAGCCTAGAGGGGGAAAATGATCATTGCCAGCAAATATTTGAGAAGTTGTAATGATCAGGATGAAGTAGATATATTTTATAAAGTATTCTGGCATTTGGCGGTACACTGGAACAGATAAATTGAAAGCCATTCAAACCCCAGAATCCCATTCTTTCCATTTCTAATTCTACATCTACCATTTCTATTATTTCTAATAAGAAACAAGAAAACCCTTAATGGCACCTAGGAAAGAGATAAAGGCAAATCATGGTCCCCATCAAAGTCCTGGTAGCAGAGATGCCACACTCAGAGTAACTGAAGAAGTTTAAACAAAGGGACTATTTAAAAAGGCTTGGGGTAGGGGTGCCTCACTGGCTCAGTCAGTAGAACATGTGACCCTTGGCTTTGGGGTCTTAAGTTCAAGCCCCACATTGGGTGTAGAGCTTACTTAAAAAAAAAAAAAAAGAATAAGCTAAAAAAATCTTGGGAAAGGTTAAAGTGTATCTAAAAATGTAGGACAGTAACGTGGGACTAGCCACACTGTTGGGGCTACAACGTTTCCAACCTTACACCTGACTGGAATCCCAGTAGGTCTTCTCTATAAGAAAGGTCCCCAGAAGGGCCACGGTGATCACAGTGATCAACCCACAGTGATCCTGTGAGTCATCAGGAGGGGGTGAGGAAGAGGCTCATCGACAACTCAGTGTTATTCTTCTCCCATTCTCTACTCTCCTGTTGATGCCTCCCATTGGATAAACTCAGTTGGAAGTCAGAAGACAAAGGAACCCATTGATGTGGTCTACAGTTCACTTCCAACAGCAGGGATCAGGTGGAGAAGGGTGGAGAGTGGATGCGAAGGGACAAATGGGGACTATCCAGCGGGGCACAGTAAGCAAGAGCAGATGTCATTTGTCCACCGGTGATTGTTAGTTGGAATTAGGAAATAAGCCTGGGTATGTGTGAAACCTGGGAAGGTAGAGGAAGGGCAATGTCAGATAGGAGAACACAATAGACAAAAGAGAACAATCCAAAGGGGAAGTTATAGTACTTAAGGGTTTGGAGAATTTGTGGAAATGTTCTGACACTTTCTTGATGATAATAACCACTGAGGATTTCTTGGGAAAAACACAGAATTTGGTTCCATTCTAGATTTTCTGAATAAAGTTCTGCAGGGGTGAGATCTCAAATCTTTTATTTTCAAGAGGGGCTCCAGGGTATTCTTTTAAAGTTGTGTCGCTTTGAAAACACAGATGTGGTCCCAGGCTACGTTGGGAACATTAGGAATTAGAGAATTCCCGTTGCCACCCAGACCGATGGGTGGGTCTGGGTGCTGACATAGGGTCCATGTGCCCCTCATAACGTATGTAATAGATGTGAGAACAAGAACTAACATTTGGGTGCCCTGACTCTTGGATTGACAGAATAGACATGCCTCACGACTTCAGATCTAATGCAGTTTAAATGCTTCTCAAATTGCACAGAATGTCAGAGAGTTTGGAATGTAAGTGTTAGACTGAAGCAGTTCCAAAAAATGTAGGGCCAAACAGGCACCATGGCTCGTAGGTGAACCTCTTGCCATTGTCTTGAGTGGTGGTCACCCTTCCTCTGTAGCCTATGTCTCTCCTTGTCTTCATCTTCCTCCTTTGACTGAAGTAGGGGGGACGAGAGGAGGGAGAGAGCTTTGTCCCAGGAGGGGAGACAGTGTCCTTCCTTCATTCTCCACCTCTTTTCTATTTGTTCAGATTATTGGATAGAAGTTGGGGTTGGTGGTGCTGGTGACATAGGCACCAACCCTCATTCTAGAGCTTAGGAGCATTACCATCGGAGCAGAAAATCATGTGTAAGGAGAAAATCCTCCTCCAGAGTGCCTCACCGCAGATAAACCAATGCAGCTGTTATTAAACAACTCGAACGGTGCAGTTTGCCTCTATTTTTTCCCTTTGCACAATGAGAAAAGCAAGAATCACCATAAACTGAGGAAAGGAAGGAAAGTATTTTCTCAACAACTAAAGAAGTGAGGGGAAAACTCACATAGAGAAAGATAATCAGTTAGACTAAGATTCTGCACAAGAGGAAAACCAGTCACTCGAAACTGATCAACACAACAACTAATATTATGACAAATGAGCAAATATAACCCTGCATTGTTTTAAAGAGAGAAACAGAAAAGGACTTATATTTTAGAAGAGGCCAGAGGGAAAGGCATAGGCCACCAAAATTGCGTGCTTGTATAAACTAGCATAATGCTTTCTGCAACTCCAAATGAGTTATTTGACTCTCCTCTTACTTTTTAAGGGCAGAGTCAGACTGATGGAAACTGGAGTTTAAAATAAGAATCGTAAACTTAGAACATAAATCCACATCAGTCTCACCATGCCCCTACAGCCAGACAATCAGGAGGGGTGAGTTCTGCCCAGCTGTGTTGCCTACTATCTGCTAGACATCTTGGGCTCAGTGTTCGAAAATAGAGCAAAGATATTGGACTAAATACCAAAGGAAGCGAGGTCCCTTGCAGTATAAAATTCTAGAAACCAAGTAATAGACCTGAGCACATTTCAACCATGAACAAACCATTCTCTTTCTGGCCAGAAGACCTAAGGCACTGAGTCCCCAGCTCTTTTCACGTATAATACTACCACCTGCTGTAATGAACGAGCACCTCATGGACACTTGGAAGACCATTTCTATTGGAAAACTTCTAAGTCCATGGAGCTGGTTCTGAATTTGTCCCCATTCACTGACCTATTTCAGTTGTTGTACTCCATGGGTATTTATGTGTATTAAGTGCATGCTTATTCGTGCCTAAGATAAACATTAAAAGAATATACACAGGAACAAGGTAAATCTCATTTGTACCCACTGCCCTCTGTCTCCCGCCCATTCTCAGGCAATCCCTAGTTACTAGTCTGGTGTGAATACTGCCAGAGACGATCTTACGTGCATGCATCTTTCCCTTTGCATGACCATCACGTACTGTAGTCACTGTTCCATACCTGCTTGGTCACCTTCTTTTTTTTTTGTTAAAGAGTTTTTTATTTATTTGACAGACAGAGATCACAAGTAGGCAGGGAGGCAGGCAGGAAGAGAGGGGGAAGCAGGCTCCCCACTGAGCAGAGAGCCTGATGCGGGGCTCGATCCCAGGACCCTGAGATCATGACCTGAGCCAAAGGCAGAGCCTTTAACACACTGAGCCACCCCAGCGCCCCTCTTGGTCACCTTCTTGTGCTGGGGATTGCCCCATGTCTGTACATTTTCATGTACTATATATATATATATATATATATATAAAATCTATCTATCATCTATCTATCTATCTATCTATCTATCTCTCTATCTGAATAGATATCTATCTATCCATCTACCTATCTATATACACACACTTTTCCTAACACTCTTGTCTATGTATAATATTCCTAAATTTTTATTTTGCCTGAGATTGAGCAGGTTTTCATGTTTAAAAACCACATTTATGAAAAAATCAATTTTACATCTTTATGAATTGTCTTGTTATATGCTTTGCCTATTTTCTGATAAGATGTTTGATCTTTGTACTGAACTGTAAGATACTCATCTCTAACTGTCAATCTCTCTATCTGTCTGAAAGGAAATATTTGTTTTTTATGTGTAGT